AAAAATAATTTATATTGAATCATATGAAAAAAAACTTTGAAAGATATTTCAAGTAAGAGTTAGTAGCAATAGACTTTATGAAGGTTACCTCACACTTAATTTTAATTTTCACACCCTCTTGGCAAATCTTTATCTTAATACTTTATTTTTCATGCAGTGTGTTTGCTTGAGGATGAATAAAAAAAACCCAAACTTTCAGACAAAGGTCTGAATCATTTTTGAGCTAACTGAGGCTACGAAGATACCTGATGTTGTTCCATGTCAAATCTGTCTGGACAATTTTTCTTCTGGCAGCTCTAGAACTGCCACACAATAGAAAAACTTGCTGGAGAATTTTTTAGAATCAGGGAAATTCACCTGTATGTCATCAATGGAGACTTAAAGCCAGTAGGCTTGCTCAGGAGTATGCATGCTGGCTCTAATTTTGGCAAACAAACTGGTAACAACCAGCATCACTACCTACTTTGCCTGCTATATAGGCTGAAATCTGTGCTGGATCTAAAGGTACCAGTCATGGTAAGATCTTTCTGAATCACCAGTATCAGCAGTACGTCACATATTGTAGATGAGAATTAAAACAATTCCTGGATATACAGTAGGACAAAGGGAAATAATTTTCCTTGTCATAAAAGCTGAGACTGGTAATTGCACACAATGTACAGGTCTGTTGTTTAACTTACCTGAAAAAGATGTTAAAATCTCAAAACTGAAAGTAGCCACAAAATTATAAATCCCTTCCTCATACCTGAAACCTGTCAACTTCCTTCCCTGGTCCTTGTGACACCTCTGCTGAGCAAAAGACAGCAGTGCAGAAGGTACAACAACGCAGCAGCAGTGAATGGTAATGTAAAACAGACAACTTTGGCTTCCTTTCCTCTTATAAGGGACATAAAGTTAGATCCTTTTCTCCCACCCAATATCCGTCACATCTGGAAGAACATAACTATCTACCCTGGTTTTAATATTGTTTATATTGTCCAGAAATCTCAGAAGTTACTGAACTCAAGAGTACTAATGGATAGATGGTCAGGCTTCATTTCCTAATAAAATTACAGAAAATTTCCAGGAACTGATTTGATTATAGCATTTCATCACTTTCACAAGAAGAAAGTATTAAATGTTAGAGCTCTTGAATCTAGTAAAGGAAGACATGATTTGAAAAAAAAACAAACCCAAACAAAACAACCAGGGAAAAAGAATTATTCCAGAGTGCTGTGCATTTGCTTTCTCAGGATCATTCAGTCTAATGAGCTTTAGTGTTCCAAAGAAGGTTCACTGGAAAAATTTAACAACCAGGTTGAAGATTTTTTATGGTCTTAAAAGCTTTATAAAAACGTAAGGATCTCCATTTTCATCATTCATCTGCTTTACTAACAATAAAAAGCTACACTCAAAAAACAAGCCAAAATTATTACAAAATAGTACCTAGGCTGTAGGCCTGTCTAGGACAGTACATCTGTAATTCTGCTTGCCTAAGATCACAGCCCAGACTCTGGGCACTCTGGACTATGTAATGATAGTCTTCATTTATATAATTATCTACTATTCTCTCTCCTCAGGATTCCTCCCTTTTTCCTTCTCTATTTCTGATTTGTTGCTCTTTGTTTTTTTCCTGCAGACGAACTAATAAAAGTGGTACATGCATATAGCACTCTGGTACCCAGCAAAAAAAATTATCTGTTCAAAATGGAAAGTGTAAATAATGCTACCTGAGCAAACAAAGAAAGTTGTGATTCTATTTTTGAAACCAAAACCAAATCAAGCTATGAATTTCAATGTTTTAATAAACTACCAGAGCTAAGAATAGTATTTTACAGGGAAATGATAAAACCTCAGGAGCACTAAGTAACTACTCAGTGCCTAGGGTTAGAAGAAACAGAGCACTTGCTTATGAAATTTCACTCATTTTCCACTGTTGCCTTTGATATTAGCATTTAGCTGAATCAGGAGAGACAAGTAGGTATGCTCAGACAGATGGAGCACTGATCTCATAAAGTATGGAAATTCTCATTTTGGGATTCTTGCACTAAAAAGGTAGGTATTTATTGCAAAGGTATCCAATATCCATTTCCTGGGTATACAGTAGGACAAATGGAAATCACCCTCCTCATCATAAAAGGTGAGACAGGTAATAGCACACAAGGTACAGGTCTGTTTTTGAGAAAAAGCATTAAATCCAATTAGTGTACACAGTTATTCTTTCTTAGTCACAAGAAAGCTGCTTATTGTTCTGACTCAAGCCAGCATGAGATTTTGTTTATATTACTCAACCATTTCATTATTGCTAACTTACCTGTTATATAACAAGAATGCCTGTTATATAAACATAGCATTCAAGAGATTATATAACTCAAAAAGCAAACCAGTGCAAGGAGACCACTTATAAGCACAGCAGCCTTAATGATTTCTAATGTAATGAAAAGTAATTGAGGACTGAAAAGACCTCCCTTTGCAGGATTCTTTCCATTAGAAAACTGTGGTCATACTGAACCCATCTTATGGTAACAATCTCTCAAGAAATTGCTATACTTTCATTTAAATGAAATGAAACACTGTTATTGTAATAAAAAATTGAAGTTTCTCTAAGAAGATAACAGTGCTTCAGATGTATGCACAAAATTACCTCTTCTCTTAAAACTTGTCCTAACAGCTATTTCAAAGAAAAATGAAGCTGTCTATATAAGTACCTTCCTTATTATATACAAATATAAATGTAAAGGAAAACTTTGTATATTTTTCATAGAAACTACATAGAGATATTAAATGCCAGTTCTTTTAATTTATCTGCAAGTACATATTCAGTCATTTTTGTATCATCATCACTCTTGACTTTGACTTACTAGAAAGAAAAATACTGACACTGACAACAACATTAATTTTTTTATCTACGAGCTACTATTTTCAAGATTAATCTTGTCTAATATCACTATATTAGCATGCAAGAGACGCACAGGCAGATTCCTAATGCATTTGTACAGAAGCTATCAAATTCTGCAGCAGGAATATATTTATGGTTCAGTGAAAACCATCTATCTGTGTTGGTATAGCTGTAGCTCTGTATCTTCTGCTAGTGTTGGCATTTAACAGGTGCTGAGAGCCCAGTAAAACACTCTGTAAACAGCTAACAGCCACTTAATGACCACACTCATACCACTGCTTTATCTTTCTTGTGCACATCTCAGAAGACCAGTGAGTACAAGCACTGTACATCAGTACAGCTGCCATCAGTTTTATTTAGGCATGGGTATGAATGCCCACAACTCTGTCCTTCATGGTTATGCACAGAAAATATCAGTAATTGTTTCCAGAAAATACCAGGTTACCATCAAACAAGGTAAGTCTCATCAGTCACTGTGCCCTACAAAAGTCTTTTTCTGCTCACATCTAGTGCAGAAAATAGTCCAGAACTAGTGCAAATATTCCACCTGCGACCTCTAGAAAGCTCTCTTTAGTCTCCTTCTTCCCAGCAGAATACTCAACCTAACATTTTCTAATCATTCTGAAGAGAAGTTTATTCATTCTCCAGCGTTCCCTGGGTATGATCTCTATATTAAAAATAAATATTCACTTAACACTTGACCACAACACTCTACTAAAGACAATGCAACAGAAAATCTGCCAATTGATGTTATGATTTAAAGAGAAGTTTCAATACTTTATATTCGAAAACTGAACATTTTTTCATTCACTGTATTCTGCCCTATAGCACTACTTTAACACACATTCCTCTACATTTTCTTTAATTTCTGCTCCTGCCCACATATGTTGGGAACAAACAGCAAGAAAACTTGCTCTACTACACACGCGTGGCTGTGCAGTTATCACTGCACGTCCTCAAGTCTGGACTGTGATTTTTGACATTATGCCTGTATGTGTCGGTCCTTTTTATTTTATTTATGCATTTGTTTGTTTGTTTATCACTGTGGATTTCGTTGCTCTTAGCTTCAACATTTACAGACTAGGAGAAGAGGGGTTTAGAAGCATGTCTCCGATTACACTGGTACCACCTCTTCTACCTCAGATGTGCTTTTCATTCTCTTGCTGTTTAACTCCTTGGAACAAATTCTCACTGACAGAACACACTTTGGATCATCCATGGGACTGTTCCCAGACTTCATTTCCCAAATATCATTTTCAGTCTCAGTGCCTTGCATGTTACAGGACTAACTACCCTATACTAGTTTAAAGTTTGTTTTCTCTAGGCATTCCCAGAAATATCAGACATGCTTCTCTTCTGCCAGCTTTCACTCCTGTGCCTACAGTCACTCTTCCTCACTTAAAGTTTATAGGATTTGAGCTGGAGCATAGCATTCAAATTAACACTACAAAGCATACATGGAACATTCAACAACAGCATAACAAATCAAATTAATTACACAGCAGAGAACATTAATTACACTACTATGGTTTATTTGTAAATTCCTATTTGCTAGTCAGACAATTTATTCCTATTAAAACCAATAATATTTCCTATAGGATTTGATTAATTCCTATATCCTTCATCTTCCAGACTGCAAAAATGCGTTATTGTCCATATTTCTTGTCCACTGAGACTCAGTAATATTCTATTTCCAGCTTAAAAGTCTATTACAGGACATTTTAGCTCGGGCCACACAGAACAATTTCATTATTTCTAGAGAAAACCAGCACACTTGACAGTCTCATGTGATACAGCCAGGAATGCTCAGAAAGCTTAGCTGCCTAAAGAAGTGATCAAGCTTTATATGACACATTATAAGATCTCAAATTAAAGCATCCTTTTAGCTCTATATTGACCCACAGCACATTGAACTTAGTGTGAATTTACAACTCTGGTAAACTTCAGTGGAAGCTGCAAGTGTTTATAATTTCTCACAAAACAGACCATTCCTGTAGCAAGGGAGGAAAATTTAGGTATTGATGCTATAAGCTTGTGACAGTCATGAAAATTGTGGTACCATGGGGGAAAAAAAAGTAGTATTTTGCAAGATGAAAAAAAAAGTGAATATTTAATAACTTACCCCTTCTGCCTTCTCTTCTGTGTTAGCCAGCATTTCCTGGAGGGCCCGTACTGACAGAGACTGCTCCAGCACAAAGGTGCAGATGGACAAATCAGGTGGAACATTCTAGGTGATAAAAACCCATGAGATCACATTAGTAACAGATTTGCTGAATAGCAATTTCCAATGCCTCTATTTTCCCTCACTTTCCATGAATCTGAAAGTTCTGCTATATCTTTGAGGCTATGAAAGCCAGCCACATACTGGGCTGCAACAGCTAAGTCTTAGCCAGCAAACAAAGGGAAGCAACTCTTCCCCTGGCTCAACATTTGTAAGCTGACACCTGGGGTACATGGTCCTCTGTCACTGAAAGAAAGAAATGCTCAATAAAAGAAGAAACCAATGAATTTCATCAGGTTCAGCAGAGATCACCAGGATTGGTAGGGCTGGTGCACTCACCCTGTGTGCCTGCAGAGAGCTGGGCTTGATCAAGCCTAGATGGAGGAGAGATATCTTACAAATCTAGTGGTGGTTACAGAGAAGATGGAAGCAGACTCTTCTTGGAGGGGCTCCTTGAAAGGAATAGGAGCAGCAATACAAGTCGTACAAAAAAAATTACAGGAGAAAATTAGGAATAGAAGAACTGCCAATCAAAGCAGCGAAATGTCTGCTTGGACATTAGCATACGGAACATGTGCCTCAGGCATTATGCTCAGACTGTAAGGGAAACCAAATTCAGTCTTTAGGCTACTGGTCGTAGCCAGACCTCATCCTTGTGATGAAGGTCAAGATGAATTTTCGTAGCAGAAACATTCGACACAGAGTATGAAGGCCAGGCCAGCAGTTTCTCAGCCTTGCAGGGCAGTATGCTTCACAATAGTCTGCTCTAACCAGGATAAAACTAAAGAGTCTTATAAAAATGAATATTTAATTTGTCATGATTGAAAAAAATATCATTGAGTTATTGAAAAGATAATTTTCCAGACTATCATAAAAATTCATATAAAACTGAAAGAGGTTTGTAATAGCAATGCCTAAGTTACAAAGTAGCAAAGTAAAATCAGATTTTATGTGGGGATCTTTTCTTCTGTTAATAGAATATGCAACTCCTACATACCTTTACTTGCCTCCAGAAATTCTTTCATATGTTGTCTCTTTTTCTTTTCAAGTTAGTTGCATATTTTAGTTTAGTAATACTTTTATTCACTATTGGAAATCAGTTTTTTATACCATGAATGCTTTTCCTACTAAAGATGTAAAATCGTACATTTACTCAAACTGTGCACAATGTGAAGAGACCTCTTCCAAGGCCAAATTGCAAAAGGTAGTTGGAAAACCATTTCATTCCCACTTTTTTTCAAAAGTTAGTTTATTCATACCCTTAACAGCTTATGAAATTGCTGTTCATTCCCACTAAGTACAGTAATTCAGGGGTTTTTTAACACATAACAAATCTTTCATTATCTTCCACCACTTATATTTCAATAAAATTAATGCAAAATTAATTTTGCAGGAAGGAGAGTACTCAAAGACTGCGGGTTGCAAGGTGTTGCTTCTACTCAGTAAATGTGGGGACAATCTTCCATTCTAGACAGTCTCACAGAAACAAACTACCTAACAGTCCAGCTCACCCTCAGTTCTTCCCAGTGAAGACTGAATGACTGACAAACAAGAGTATGAACAAAACAGGAAAAGATGCTCTGTACACTGTGCTCAGAAATGAGTCAAGGTTACACTTCCTGTATCTAGTTATAAGCAAACAACTATAAGCAAACAAAGTCTCCATAACAATATTCCCACTGTCATTCATTACTGTTACTTAAGCAGGATTTTTGCTGGCAGAATGTCTCACACATATGATTTTGGACCTACCATTTTTTTTACTACTGAACCTCCCCTATAGGTTATACACTTTCAAATACAGAAAATCCCGCATCACTTCACACATTGATCAAGCCAACATAGCAAGGACACCCCTTCATCCATTTCATTCTCCCTTATGTTCCAGACAGCCAGGAGCACTTTCTTCCTTCCCCATTTAAACTGAGCTATGAAGTCCCAATGAACATTTTTCAGCTATTCTCATAGGGGAGTAAGGCACACTTTTTGCTGCCAGAGAGTAATAAAGGAGAACTGTATGAGACCATTTTGCTTTAATTAAGTGGAAGAGGTACTGTCTTCTTACAGTCTAGCAAAGTGTTAGAGCCAGTTTCCTTTTCATGAGACAAAAGAGAGAGCACATTATCCCACCTCATCTCTGTTGCACGTATGCCTAGACACTTGGTGGCCCCGAGAGAGCACTGTGTTTCCCCTAAGAGCTGAAGAAAGATGCAGCTACTGATGCCTGCAGAAAGCATGTGAATTGGACCTTCCTCTCTGGCAGTTCCTCACCCAGATCTGCCCTACTGAAGATCAAACAGGCAAGGTTGCATCAATCACGGCATGTACAACAATCAGAGCATGGACAAATGCGGGAGAGATGCACAGCTGCCAATATATTTAGCTCAGTTACAGCTCTGCTCACCCCTATACACTCCATTTCAATGCTGATGCTTTTAAAGCTCTGGATTTAAAAGATGAGGCTTCAGGCTGGCATACAGACACAAACTGAAAGTTCCTATTTTGAATAGCCCTCTCCATAAAACAATAATTCCAGCTTATTTTTAAACCCTCATTACATACCAAACATTATTCACAGTGCATTTCCCATCTCTTCAAAGCATAAAAATGAGGAAGGAAAGAGTCTTTGCCAGATCTCTGATTGTCTACCTTATTTCTCATATTATCTCACATAGAGACAGAGGACGGAATACAAAAAATAAAGGTATTCTGTGTTATACTGGCAGTCTAACATTCCCTGTCGAAAGGTATCTTCACACAAATTACACAGTAGATTTTAGTACCCAGTCTGGAAAGTAATTGCTTATTCTAGGGTCCATAAGGAAAATCTGTAGCAACCAGTTGTCAATATCAGATTCTTAAGAACAGGTGAAATGTGCAGGCAGGTTTTTTAGTAATTGCTTTGCTAGACTATGAGCACACTATTAAATAATAAATAATTTTAAAGAAAATATTTTGCTACATGTCCAACAACCACCCACCAGTGCACTTTTAATAAATACCAAAACTACCAGGAAATTTTCAACAGTTTAATGATAACAATACATCTCTGTTTTGAGAACACAACGCAATCTATAACTCAAAAAACTGCTCAGTGCTCAAAAGCAGACTACTTAACAGATATAAGTAACCATATTGGCAATCTTCAATCTTCTTTTCCACCAGTTTTCATTGTATTTAGCTTTGCTGCAGTAACTTTCTAAACAAAGGCATAGAAAATTAGTTCATATTTCAAAAAGGTTTTTTTCTTTTGTTTTGTGACAGAGTATATAAGGAGGTCCTTGGACAGCACAGGGAATCTGTATCACTTCAAAAAATTGGTGGAAAATTCTGATAAGCAATGACAGTATTCAAAACAATTTATTTTCATTTTATTTTTCACACATTTGCAAAATCAATTTTATTTTAATGGATTTTAACATAAAATACACCCAGTGACTTAAAAAAGTAAAACTTAGTAATTCCTGTATATCTCAGAGTTTCAAGCATTAATGATTTTGGCTGCCACTTCTTGTTCTTCTACTCAGACATAATTACTAATATGCAAGTAGCTTGATTTAAAAAAAAGTTATTACACAAATAAACTAGAAATTCTATATTAAATTTTAAAAGGAGATTCATTTCTGCTAGGAGAAGAACAATACATAAATATTACCTTTTTCTATTGTTCTGTTGTTTGTAACAGTCCAATCAACAAAATTAGACAAGTTAAAATAACATAACAGTCATCTTTATTTTTAAAGCATACCTATTACTGAATTGCTGGATTATTTAGAAAATTGGTGAATTCTTTATTTCTTCCCATCATTTTAAACTACATTTATTGTGTACACTAGTTTTCTGTAGTAATATTTGCATAGTAAATTATGCTTTACTCTGTGGGAGGCAGATTCGCAAATTAGATAATCATACCCTTTATTAAAAAGGTGTTTTGAGTAAAGCTTTTGAAACACCATTTAAAAATATCCCTAGCTGTATTCCAACCCACACTGAATCATGGATACTGAATGTATTCATTACACTCTATTTCAGGTTTTAGTGAATTACTATTTCCAAGCATACCACACTCCAGTGAAAGCAAGAGGCTGAGATGCAAAACTCAGTCCCACTGTCATTACTCTGATGGTCACACAGTGCTAACAAGCCACAGTAATGTATGACCCGCTCATGTAATATGTTGCATGTAATCTTGTGAATGTAAACTGAACTTCTGCCTCTCACAAATATTAATACAAGACTGAAGAATAATAAATTACATCAGCAAACAGAATTCTGTCTCTAAGAATAAGCAGCTTTACCTCGGCTTAATTTTTCTTCCTAGTTATTTGCAAGCTTCTTAGTTATTTTCCTAGGCTCAGGGGTGTGGGTTTATTTCTCTTTTAACCAGATTCCCAAAGAAATGGACTTGCAGGTATTTAATTTCTAACTGTATACTAAACATTCACATAGCAATGCCTAAAAAATCACCTAATTAAGTAGTCTGATTTACAAAGCATCTATCATTTGCATCACTGTCAAAAAATGAGATGTGGGTGTTCATAACTTTTTTTAACACTAGCTCATTTACTAAATGCCTAACTTTGAGAATCCAAGGAGGACAACTCAGAAAATTAATTTTAGTACAGAATTTAAGCAAAACATCTGTAGTTCTATTTGTGGGAGTAGCCTGAAAGAAACTGAACCCACCAGATATTTTCAAGTTACATTTAAATTTATAGATCTCCATCGTTCTGGCCATCCTTTCTACTTAAATGAGATTCTGTCCAGTGACAGTGATAGAACACACTCAATATTACCAAGTAAAAAGATCCATTTCTAGGACTGGATATAGAAGGAACAGCTTTCCATGTTTTCACGTTTGTCATCAAAACAAGGGGCCCAGTACAGAAATACATGGGTCTGACGACCAGTCCCATCAGCCAAATAGGACAAACTACAATCATCAAATCCCAAAGTGGAAAAGACAGAGAATTAATTATGAGGCTTACAGTTTCAGCTCTATGGAA